TTTAGATATCAATTTTCGGAATTTTATCTTCGAACCTTTAGCTTTTTATCTTTTATCGATTTTTCCGTCTGTATAGATGAAATTGAAAGTCTTTCTTGACTGCTGCAAACGTATGAAGCCAGCATTTCATCATTTCTTCGAGGAGAAGTATCGATCACCTGAAACCTGGGTCGAGAGGACTCTTACATACACACGCAGCGTCGCTACCACGTCTATCGCAGGTTATATTCTGGGTCTCGGCGACAGACACCTGAGCAACATCCTTATAGACGAACACACCGCTGAAGTTATTCACATCGATTTTGGTGTAGCTTTTGAACAAGGCAAAGTCCTACCCGTTCCCGAGACAATTCCTTTCAGGTGATATTATCGTACGAATTATTTCATCTTCGAAAAGCGCATTAAAGGATTTTATACCTATAATATTTCTATGTAAAGTTAAACGAGATTGCAATGCGAATAATACAAATAAGCAAGAAGCGCCAAATTCGATCAATTTTGGTGCTTAATAATATTTCTATGTAATTTTAAGATGCTTAAAAGCATATTTATTAAATTGATGGTCGATATAGATTGTGTTATTTCAGCTTGAATTTATGACTGCGTTTCAAGTACGACAGTAAATTGGCGCGTAATTTATTTAATTGAAAACTGTATTTAAATTTTACATAGAAATGTTAGACATCAGCTTTGACCGCTTCTATTTGACGCTTCTTATATATATTTCTATTATAGTGTAAATTAACTAATCTCAACTTACTCTTTATCATTTTTTAATTTTTAAAACTAAAAAAAGATGAAGAATGAGTTGAATCAAGATTAGTTAATATCAAATATGAGATTCTAATCTCAGATTCTAATTCTCCTCGAAATTTATAATTTTTTTTCATTTAACTGTCCTTATTAACTGGTTGTTCGCTTCATTGTAGATTAACCAGAGATATCGAAGTCGCCATGGGTGCCTCTGGCATCGAGGGTACTATGAGGCGTAGTTGCGAAGTGACTATGACAATGCTGCGTGATCAGAGGCAGATTATCATCACCCTCCTTCAGGTTCTGCTATACGATCCACTCTTCACGTGGGCGATCACGCCGGAGAAGGCCTGCAAAATGCAGAGCGATGTCGTAAAGCGTATCTCAGAAAACAGTGGACGAGGTAAGAGGAATTAATCACGGTTGAAAGCAATGAATTCTTAACGCGCAAAACTATCTTGATTAATTGTGATGTGAATTAATCCATTAATTTTTACTTACTCTTTAGCACCTGTAGAAACTAACACGATCGCCAAGAGAGCTCTTTTGAGGATCGAACAGAAGTTGCAAGGCACCGAGGACGGTCTGGTGTCCAGTGTTCCCGGACAGGTCGAGAGACTCCTGCAGGAAGCGCGAGATCCTGCGAATCTATGCCGAGTTTACTGTGGCTGGCAACCATATTTGTGAATACCCGGTGAATAATCGTTCATAGTGTTCATATCCAGCGGATACATCTAGGATAAGTTTTATATGTTATATGTTAATTTATAATGTACATCGAAAGTACCTTTTGTATCGTATTAAATTTTTTATCTTTCATAAAATTTTATCGATGTCCGAGTGTACTCATTTATATTGCAGCTCTTCGGCAAATCGATGTATCGATATATCGCCTTCCCGAATGTAATTTTCCTGCATTCCTGATATTTTGTATCTCGCGCATTCGAATTTTTAAATTCAAATTTTGGACTGAAGTAGATGAATCTCGAGAAGAGACTGAGTGCAGAAAAGGCGCTATTAAAATTATCAAACGGGAAGCAAATATGAAAAGGACAAAGGGTGAAAATGAAGCTCCGAGAAACTTTGTCATTTCAGACATACTTGACATTTTCCGAACGCTTAAAGTTCTCTTTTATGACCTAATAACAGTGTTCGCGCTATATTGATTTCAGAGTGAAAAGGCGTATCGATCTCGTTGATTGTTTATATTGCCGGCGAGAATGATTGTGACGTTGCGGAAACGAGTCGAGTGAGAATCACACGCGAAGTAGATTAACTGCGATGAGATGACAAAGTCCACACCTCAGCGTTCTTATTTTTGCCATCGGAGAGAAGGTGTGTGCTTCGCTGATGTTTGCGTCCCACGTCCCATCGTGGGTGTAAGTGTAGGCATGAGTTTATACGAAGACAACAAATCGTAATAACTTTATTAAGGTATAAGTATCTATATAGCACAGAGTAACATTGCAATGTTACTCTAAAATTGCTGGAACATTGCAATGCTGCTACAATGTTGTTAGAACGTTGCAATATTGTTGGGACATACAAGTATAGTATTGTTACACAATACTTGTAATATTGTTGAAACATTCCGATGTTGTTGAAAGATTGCTGCAACATTGCTGGAATTCATGTACTATATGAACGATGAGAGCGATTATAGACTGGAGGTTGCATCTCGAAAGACAGCAACGATAACTTTATAATTAGCTCAGATCTATATACCTATATATATTAATAATAGTAATAATAATAATAAATCTATTAAATCATAAATATAAGAGATTACAAAAAGCAGGACGATCATAGACGGCTGCACCTGAAAGGCAAAGTGAGGCAACAGTGTGTCGCTAATGCTATAAGACCAGCTATAATGATAATAATAAAAGTGTAGGTGTAGGTGTGCGGCGTATGTAGCGCGCAACGTCGCCGTCACGTCTCCGCGACTCGTCATCGATTGCGCGCGCGCGCGGGGAATCGCTCGCTAAAGTTTCTCCGAATTACTCCGAAGAGATAGGCCGTGTAACCGTCACCGCCGCGCAAATCGCCTCCGTCCTTGCGGCCTGCAACGAAAGAGAACGGTACGCGGGGGCTCTCGTGATTTTCGAATCGAACAAGAGGGTGAGGGAGAGAAAGAGGGAGAGAAAGAGAAAGAGAGAGATAGGTGCGAGCGAGCGCGCAGGCGGGTCCTGCCGAAGCGTCGTCGCCTGTCACGTCTGCCGTGAGGATCATTCTCTAAGTAGACCATCTCATAGTCCAGGATAAAGCCAGTCAGACAACTGAGACAACCAACCAGCCAGCCACTTCTATCAGCCGCCATCTTGCTGCTCGAGGAGAACGGTGACAGACGGAACCTGCTTGTTGGAGCGGAGCGTGGTGAGAGAGGCGTGAGGAAGGAGGAGAAAGAGAGTAGGAGACAGATATAGGTAGACGACTCTGACGACTCTCACGACGGTCCCTTCATGCGGTACGCGCCTATGCCATCCTGTCGCCTATGCCTTACTCCACGTACAATCGTAGCTGAGGATAGTTGGAGAATAGTCTAAGAAAAGGAAGAGGAGGTGGTGGTGGAGGAGGCGAAGAGGAGTATCGGCCGTGCCGATCGAGTGCTAGGTATACACGTATACACACATACACGCACACGCACACACCACATACAAAGGCGTGCGCGCGCGCGCCTCCTTCGTCATCGCCGTCGTGACCGTCGCTTCCACTCGCAATGGCAATGGAGACGCCGAGGGAACGAGAGATCGCCGCCGAGGACAGCATCAAGGTGGTCTGCAGGTTCCGGCCGCTCAACGATTCCGAGGAGAAGGCCGGCTCCAAGTTCATCGTCAAGTTCCCGTCCGGCGGTGACGAGAACTGCATCTCCATCGGGGTACGTGGAGCACTTCACGCCTACGTGAACGTGGACCATTCTTCTATCCGGATCTGTTCTTATTTTTCCGTTATTGTTGCATATATTGTGTATAGATGTATGTTTTTCTATATAGATGTGTACATAAATCCATAATGGGACTATGATTCATAACACACATGTTTCGAAAGATTCTCCAAATCCATTCTGCATTTAACTATATACCAGAAATAAGTGAAGAAGGTCGTATCTGAAAGTGGGTCTTTGTGTTTAATGATATTTTTGTGAGAATAACTTTTTTCCTTGATTTCCAAACAATATTTCATAATTTTTCCTGACATTCGATAATATTAAAAAATTTTTTGTATTTTATCTGATATACCTGATTTGATTTCCAGTTTTGTGGCAATCCTGTAATGTCACAAATTGAATTGACAATGTAATAATATTGTTTTTAAATATTCTTAAAAAAAAGTCACAAAATTGTATTAAACAGCAGAACTTGCTTTGACTAAATATTCTTTGCTTATTTGTGTTGAACATTTTCACTTATCATTAATTTAATTTATTACCAGTTAACAACTTTTTATGCAGATTTACTTTAATCTGAGTTCAACTCTTCATCTTTTTCCAGTCTCAACAATTAGAAATAGGTGAATAAGTTGAATCGATTAAAGTTAATCTGGTAGAAATGTACTGAAAAAAAGAACATCTAGCAATAGTTATCAAATATTGAGTAAAATAGGCTGTAAAAGTCTCAAAAATATTAAAAAATGTTACTTTTCTGAATATTAAGTAATATTGAATAATAATTATTACTCAACAGTTATTTGATTATTATGCTGAATACTAAATATTTAGAAAAGTAATATTTTTTTGTTAACCGAATATTTAATTGAAATTATTTCACTGAACTGATAATTATTACTGGATTCTTTTTTCATTATAGATATTAGAAATTCAAATGATGGAAAATGTGTACATACGATAAATGCAACAGTAACTCTATGAAATTTAATATGTTTCGTGTTATTGAAATTTTGCATGCGTTTTCTTCTAGATTCTAGATATGTATAATAAAGTGTATTACACTAGGAAAATTTATTATGGTTATGGCAATAAGAAGATTTATCTTTATTGAAGGCTTGGCGTTTTCCAAATATGAATTTTTTGCTATATGATATATCAATTGTAGGGCAAAGTATACCTCTTTGACAAAGTATTTAAACCGAATGCTACACAAGACAAAGTCTACAATGAAGCCGCAAAGTCTATCGTCACGGATGTTTTGGCAGGATATAACGGAACCATTTTTGCATATGGTCAAACATCGTCAGGTAAAGTTTATTCAAAATAATTAGAACAGAGTGTTTATTATATGTGCATCTAGAAAAACTTTGTTAGCAAAATCTACTATGTTAATGTTTTTCACTGGCAGACTGGTGCGCACTCAATGCACTTTAAAGCCGTTATACACAATAAATCGACGATAAAGGCTGTGGTCAAAGTCTCGCTACAAATGCTTTGAAGCATTTGATTAATTAGAAGAAAGAATTTTACAAACTGACCAATTAAAAAACGCTTCAAAGCGTTTGCAGCATCGCGTTGACCGTACCCAAAGATGTACGTTTAATAAAAATATAGAAACCAATTAAATCACGAATACTTAATACATTTTATTGTGCTATTTGAAAATATACATAGGGTATTTTATTAATGAGATATCCTACTTTTACATTCAAATTAGATTAGTGTGTACAACAACTTTAATATGTACTGAGTGCGCACTAGTTCTGCCAGTGAAAAACACTATAAAATTCTCAAAATATTTTAGCGGAAAATTGTTGTTCTCTTCAAAAATTTATAATATTTTTCATTGGGAAAACACATCAGTGTACACTGAATGCAAATCAATTCATATATATTTTTAGGAGCGGTTTCATCAATACTAGTAATCTGTTTCCTGCACTAGACTGCATTAGCACTCTCTTTCTCACTTTCAACAAATATCAAACATATATCTATCTCACTTCAAATTCCAAAAGTGTATACTAGTTCAGCCAGAAAATAGACCTGTTAACTTAAGCTGTGTTTCACTTACACAAATAATGCTCGCAACGCTCACGAGCATTATTTGTCTTTGTTTAATATTTGATAAATGATAAGAATGAATGATTCCACGAGCGTTAAGTGGAATGCAGCCTTAATAGGCAGTTAATTGACCAATCACATTTGCTGTTTAATAGAATTGACCAATTATGATTGACAGTTAATCCCGATTAGAATTAATCGGCGTTGGTGAAATCAACCCTTAGTGATAAATAATTTAATCTTTTAATTATACTTTCTTTATTATCACAGTTTCTTCATATTCTTAAAAGAGTTCGCTATCTTCATAATCTTGAATTATTTATTAATAACTGAAAAAATATATAAACCGATTTGCACTCAATTGCACCAAATGCATTCAGCAGAAGCAGCTTTGCAACGTCGTAAAATTCTTTAAAGCCGGTTCTACAGTAGTTGCAAGCTGATCGCTAGTTTGTTGCGTCAGCCAATCTGAAGCTTGCATTTTGAAATCAACACTTCATATTGGTTGTCACAACAAACGTAGAATTGACTTTAAAGAATCTTTCAACCTTTCAAGTTGCTAAAAAGTTTCGTTTTTACGCAGCAACTGTTAAGTCCGCTGAATGCGCCAATAGTTGTATATACTTGTCCCAGAGAACGCAATTTAATATTAATTAATTTGTTTCGCGAGTATTACACAAGTTTTATTCGAAATTTCTAGTTTTGCTTAGATTATTGAATTCTACCTTTATAGCTAAAACTGCTTTAATTTTGTGAAACAAAAGTATGGAGAATATCTGAGAAATTAAGGAATTTTTTTCAGTAGACATTTTGTAGAATAAAAGTCATAGCTTACGCCTTATATTTGAATTCGTCATATAAAATGCAGGTAAAACGCACACAATGGAAGGAGTCATCGGCGATCCTAACAAACAGGGCATTATCCCAAGAATCGTCAATGACATCTTTAATCATATTTATGGTATGGAAGAGAACCTGGAATTCCATATCAAAGTATCTTATTTTGAGATTTACATGGATAAAATCAGGGATCTTCTTGATGGTAAGTTTTTTGGAGTTTTGATTTATTTATTAGCCATAATTTTCGTAAAATCAATACATCTCTCAAAATAAATCTCCAATTTTTATTTCAGTATCTAAAGTTAACTTAAGCGTACATGAAGACAAGAACCGGGTGCCGTTCGTGAAGGGCGCGACCGAGCGGTTTGTTTCTAGTCCTGAGGAGGTGTTCGAGGTGATAGAGGAGGGCAAGTCAAACCGGCATATCGCCGTGACCAACATGAACGAGCACAGCTCACGTTCTCATTCCGTTTTTCTCATAAACGTTAAACAAGAGAATTTGGAGAATCAAAAAAAGCTCTCCGGCAAATTGTATCTCGTCGATTTAGCCGGTTCTGAAAAGGTAAATTTATATTTAAAAATAAGTTTTCTTTCTATTTTCTATATTTCATTATTACATTATTATTTAGTATATTTATCATATTCCTGCATTTCATTAGGTTTCTAAAACCGGTGCAGAAGGAACGGTGTTAGACGAAGCAAAAAACATCAACAAGTCTCTGTCTGCACTTGGTAATGTAATTTCGGCCTTGGCTGACGGCAATAAGACTCACATTCCTTATCGTGACTCAAAGCTAACGAGAATCCTGCAAGAATCCTTGGGTGGCAATGCCAGAACTACAATTATCATCTGTTGCTCTCCTGCTAGCTTTAATGAATCCGAAACAAAATCAACTTTAGATTTCGGTAGAGCTATACTATATCTTTTTGATGTAAATATTGTGTATTTTGTTTTCCACAGATTTTATGGAATATATTTATCATAGGTAAACGCGCCAAGACTATCAAGAATGTCGTGTGCGTGAACGAGGAGCTAACAGCCGAAGAATGGAAACGTCGCTACGAACGCGAGAAAGAGAAAGTGGCAAGATGGAAGGGCAAAGTGGACAAATTGGAGGCGGAATTGTCGCGTTGGCGGCAGGGTGAGACTGTCAAACCGGAAGAGCAGGTCAGCTTGATTGAAGGACCTGATGTTACTACACCGATTACCGCATCCATTGAAGGTAACGAAGATAGTGTAAATGCCTGTCTTTTGTATTAAAATGACAAGACGATTAACAGTCAGATATTGCAAATAAAATAGTTAATAAAATTCCTAGAGTTATCCGATAAAAGCGCATGCATATGTGATAAAGCATTTGTTATAAGATATTATTAGATAAGATTAATAGATAAGATTAGATTATTTACTACTGATAGTATTTCTATTTTTATTATTTTTATGATTTATTTCTTTGAAGTTTTATTATTTTACGTATTGTATTTTAGATTTGATGTTACAAGATTAGATGTATTACTTTTGCAAATCATGGATTCACTATAAAAATCTCTGTTTTAGGCAAGCTGGACGACAGTCCGATGCCTGCTACTCCCGGCGGTGGTCTCATGATCGGTTCCCTTTCGAACGAAGAAAGGCAGAAGCTCGAGGAGGAACGCGAGAGGCTGTACCAACAGTTGGATGACAAGGATGAGGAAATTAATCAGCAATCGCAGTACGTTGAAAAGCTGAAGGAGCAGATGGAGGAACAGGAGGAACTTATCGCCAGTGCAAGGCGAGATTATGAGCAATTGCAGCAAGAGATGAATCGAATACAACAAGAGAACGAGAGTGCTAAAGAGGAGGTGAAAGAGGTGTTGCAAGCGCTGGAAGAGCTTGCGGTCAATTATGACCAAAAATCACAAGAGGTAACTATTAACAATAGAAAAAGACTACTCTCAAAAGAAAAGCGGATGATCTTTTATTTTTGCTATTCTAACTTTAGGTCGAGCTAAAGAATAAGGAACAGGAATCAATGACAGAGGAGCTCCTGGCTAAACAAGTAACTCTAAACAACACTGCATCTGAGTTGCAACAGTTACGTGATATGTCAGCTCATCAAAGAAAACGCATCGCGGAGATGTTAGCAAACTTCTTGAAAGACCTAGGAGAAATTGGCGTAGCTATCGGTGGCGAGTCTAACGAAAATCTAAAAGTAAAGACAAATATCTAAATAGAAAAATATAAAGATTAGAAATTATTTTTTATTTATTTAATATAAACTTGTTGTGGTTTTGTCAATTATGATCTTAATTTGAATTTAAGATCGCTCCGCCGGAGAGCAATGGTAAACTGGAGGAGGAGTTCACAGTGGCGCGGTTATTTATCAGCAAGATGAAATCCGAAGTGAAGAATTTAGTGCAACGATGTCAGGGATTGGAAAGCTTCCAAGTAGACTGCAATAAGAAAGTAAGTAGACGGCGGCTGCGTTTCACGTCATCGCATTAATCAGAACTTTTGCACGTCGCTTTTCTTCAATCAATTTTCATTTTGTGTAAATGTCTAGGTTTCCGAGTACGAGAAAGACTTGGCCGAATGCCGATTGTTGATCTCGCAACACGAAGCTCGTATGCAAACGCTGACGGAATCTATGAAAGAGGCTGAAACGCGCAAACGAGCCTTAGAAGAAGATGTAGATGCGTTACGCGAAGAATGCGCCAAGTTGAAGGCCGCCGAACAGGTGCAGGCAGTTACCAACAAGGAGAAAGCCGAGGAGAAAGAGGCGGCGACGAAGATGCGGGTGGCTTTAGAGGAGCAGATGGATCAGCTGAGGGATGCGCATCAAAAACAGGTTATTTATTTATAGAATACATTCCATATTGATTGCATTTTTAATTTTGGATATATATATTTTTTATATATATATA